ATGATTAACAATTATTACATCCACATGATTAACAATTATTACATCCACATGGACGCAGTTAAAGGACGCGCAAAGTTGTGCCAAAAGTACATTTAACAGGAACAGATTCAGCCTTAGTGGAGGATATAATAAATAGTGTAACATGCTTTTATTTATAAACTGATAGAAATTTCTGATGACGAGTGGCTCATCAGCCATTTTGAGGAAAAATCATTTTTCAGTTTGGCACTGCTGCGCTCTGGGAGCACGACACAGCGAGCCGTGTGCACCACGCGTGCAGCAGCAGTGATTGAACTGGGGTTCCACAGGAGCTTTCCAGAGGGAGCTGGCAGACCCATCAGGACCGTGTCAGTCCAGTCCACCCAAAGCTGAGTCATGACTAACGAAATCATCTCCATATGATTCTAACGGCTGAGTTATGGTCGCACTCTGGAGCGCACACCCTCGCCGGCAGTGGAGGTGTTTCATACTTGGTGTTTACATTGTAGATTTCTCCAAAATGACATGTGGAAGTACACTTTACAACTTGTGAAAATGCTGTAAGTAGGAGAGCAAAAGCTGGACAGACTGCACACAAAGGCTGCAGCGCGCAGTGTTTGTAGAGACTCCAACATCAGGTCACGTCATGAAAACTCTACTGAGGCGCAGAGACTCGTTTCTTAACATCAGCTATGAAATAAACTAAGATCTATGTTCTACCAAACATTTAAGTTCCTCTGTGTTTACAGTAATTATGGTAACAAATTCGTGCGCAAAGTTAATATTTTCAGACTCAGAACGGATGGCTGAGCCGGTTGTGCAACACAGCAGCGTGCGCAGACACACACACACACCGACACACAATCACTCGTTCTTTGCGTGATAAACATATTTTATTCCTATTTTTACTTAGGATTTTTTTTCTCACTCACATTATATTTAATTCATTATTTTTATGGCTCTAAAAATCATTTCTGATCACGCAGGGATCACTCAACATGTCCTTCACACATGCAGGAAGTAATTTGCATCTGTTTAACATATGTTAATGAAGGCGTGTCAGGGGAGGTGTCTTACTTGCGCTCAGTTCCACGTTAATTGTGATGTACGAAAGCAATGTGCGTGGATTCAGGCGTACGCACAGTTTGATACATCTGGATTTTTTTGTACGTACGCCGTTTTCTGGATTTGACCGTGCGTCAGGTTTCAGTAAGAAATCCACGCAAGTCTTTGTACATGAGGCCCCTGGTCTGCGTAGTTTGGAAATTCATGACGGGCTGAAGAATTAGTTTTTAAATAGTAGGCTGCAGCCCCTGGACTGAGACACACAGCTTGTTACTGAGGGAAGAACAGTTACCTTTGGATGAAGGATGCGGAGCAGCGATCCAGTATCCCAGATGGGAGGCAGTGTAAGTCCAAACCAGCTCATCTCCAACTGTTTTAACTATTCCCAGCCCGTGGTTCTCCCAGGCACCTTCAGAGAACATCCATTCATATTTACTCTATAAGCATGCGTTGGTCTATGATTCTACAATCTGTGAGTTTTATTCCTACCTGTTTTCAGGTTGAAGGCCCAGGCTGGTATTGTATCGGAGACCCTTAGGTGTGTGTTGTGTCCCAGTGGTAGGCTAATCTGGATTGGCCCTCTGACCTGGAGCTCCTCCCCACCGGAGTACAGCAGGACGCTGATGGCTGCCACCGCCTTCAGCTCGATGCTCCTGAGCACTGCACAGGAATCAGAAGTGTAAACAGTGAGACACGTACACTGATCACTGCCTCCATAGAGCTCCTGTTAACAGCTTGTTTTACCTGATCAGACTTATCAGTACTTTCTGATCTAAAGCTCATACTTGAGAAAAAATTAAAAAACAAAATTCATCCCCTGAAGTCTGTTTTCAAAGAACTTTTCTAGACATCCCTGAAACGGTCTTCAGGTAAGATACAGCAAAGTGCATTTAGAGAAACATTTAGGCAAACCTTTTCTCCTTCAAAGATCTTAACTCCTGCATTCATCATAGTTAGTATGGAACAGTCTTGTAATACATTAAAACCATTTGTTGCCAATAAAGGTTTTCATTTCTGTACAATAATAAGTCCTAAAATTGATAAAGAAAACTGGAATGAAAACTGGACTAGGATGAGGAAAACTCAAGTCAATCCTCAACAAAACCTACCAGATTTACTACTGATGATGCCTGGGGTGCAGTTAGTGCAGTCCTTCGACAGGTGGTGCTGTGGCACAGTCAGATACGCCATCAGTGACGAGATGTTACTTTTATCTGCGATGGTCAGGAGGTTCTTGGGGAACTTGACTTTTGGTTGTGAAGAGCTGTCTGTAATATGAGTCCAGACATGTATGGGTTCAAACTTAATTTGAGAAACCTGAAGAATTAAAAAAAGAATTAAATATGAAACATTTCTAACAGCAGTAAACTTACCAGGTAACTTCCCAGTGATGAGCACCGAGTCTTCAAACAGCCAGATGTTGCCTTGACTGTGAGGGAGCAGCAGCATCGTCACAGCAGAGAAAACTGTGAGGTGAAAAATTAAATGTTCAGGAAAAACTACAAATAGGGCTGTTTTTGCATCTATTGGCTGTTTTTGATATGGCTAATTTTTTAGCCATATTATGTGCAAATTACTTTTTCAATTGTGCTTTAAGAATAAAATGGAAAACCAGCAAAGACCTGTCATGATCTGACTGATGCATCATCCATTAAAGGGCCTATATTATGTGTTTCTCAGGCATACATTTAAACACTATACCATAATAAAGTATCTATGTCACCTTTAGTTGTTGTTAAAATGCTGTTTTTATGTTTAAATAGAAAATAAAATTATCTTCTCATCACTTACTCTTCTAAACGCCTTGAAATTGGTCTCTGTCTCTTTAAGAACCACCTTACGCTTCTGTCCCGTCCCATTTCAGTGGGG